GGGCTGCCTCTCTGATCAGAACTCGGGAAACACCTGCAGAGACGGGCCGAGCCCTGTGTCCCTCAGAAGCCCGGGCTGCACTCACAGCCGCCGCATCTGGACTGGAAGCGCAGAGCCCTGGGCCGCTCCGGCGCTGGGCCTTTGCTCTTGTCCTGAGCCAGTTCCCTTTGTGCAGCTGGGCCGGCCGCCCACCCGTCGTCATCGGCAGAGTGGCTCTTGCGGGCCCCCAGGAGACAACCCAGATGATGACAACACTGTCACTGCAACGAGCAGAAAGCCTGGCTCAGCACTGCGCTCACAGAGAGGGCAGAACTCCTCCGTGGGGTCTGAGGCCAGCCCTGGCGCCTCTGCTCCTGGAGGCTAAGCATCCATGGAGGGAGACTGCAGGGGGTGAGAAGGGAGATGAGGCCGCCCCGGGGGCTCCGGGAGGGGTGGGCGAGATGCGGGGTGCGTGTCGATGGGCCTGCTGCAGTCGGTGGCTGCACGGAGGTTAATCTAGATGTCAGGGTTGCCTGGCAGCACTGGAATTACTCCAGGGCCGGGCCCCTCAGAAGTCTTAATATAAGAGTCAATTCCATCCTGCCTGCAGGAAATGAAAGTTTTCTGCTTTGTGTGCCGAATCATTCAGCACCAATTTTCTCACTGTTTGAAGTCCAAACTGTTTGTGGTCTTGAGACTCACCTCCTATTAAGACTTTCTCAGAGCTTGGAGGAGCCGGATTGTCAGTCCCTAGGAAACAGGAGGAGGAGGAGCCGAAAGAAAACGTGGGAAGGCCAGAAATGAAAGAAAAGTTTCTGCACTGAGATTTACTTCTCGACCACAGCTCGCAGAGCTAAGTCACCTGCACCAGGCTGAAGTGCCCACTCATGCACGCAGAGGACCAGCGTGCCAGCTGCTAAGTGGACAGGGTCATGGGCAGCCCTGCCAGACACAAAACCCTTACGGAGGCTGCCCACACGGGTCCCGCCAGCTCACGTATTCCCAGCATCCTTATGAAGGAAGGAGCAAGCACCTGACTGACGCTCAAGCATTCTCATGTCTCATTGGGCTTTAGGGGTGCTACATCTGAAAGGACGTCAGCTCTCCGCCCCCCTTTGGGCTTTCAGGAAGGACGTCTAAATTCTTCATGCGCTCAGTTGAGAAGAGCCATGTCTTCTCATGATGCGTCAGGTTGAAACGCCAGAGCCCAGTGCCGAGGCCCTTGCCAGCAGCAGGGGACTTTCCTTGGGGTGTCTCTGGAAACGTCCAACATATTGGCCATCAGGGTCTCTTGCAAGCTGAGAGCATGGGCCGTGGCCCAGCCACAAAGCCAGGTTCACCTTGGGTATTAGGAGACATTACCAGCGCTCCCTGGCTTTCTGTCCTGCCTCGGTGTGACAGAGACAGTCCCGCACACTCGTTTAGATTTGTCCTGACTGCAAATACGAACCAGATCTGGGTGTGAATTTGGAACGTAGCCAAAGAGGAAAGAGAAAATGATTTTATTACTATGATCAAGAACGTCAGGTACTTAAAGGCCACTCCCCTGCTTCCTCTATCTCCTTGCAAAATAGAAAAGGGTCTGTGTCGGCACGCAGAAGCCTGAGCCAGAGGCATCTCTTGCTGGAAAGCAAGTTGTTTAGGCATCAGCAGGACCACGCTTGGGAAGACTGCATCACGAGCAGAGGTGTCAGAAGCTAAGGGTCAGGTCGTAGGGCAGAAGAGCCAATGCCCACGCAGAAGCCCTGATGCCCAGTGCAGTCACACGAAACACCACTTCTACCATGGCCAGCAAAGCATTTTGGAAAGAGCAAGCTATTGGCAACATCTCCTTCTCTGTCCCATCCTGGCTGGGGCTGCTCTCACCTGCTATGCAGGTGAATTCCACAGGAACCCCCAAAAGGGATGGCAGAAATGGCTCCTGCCTGGCAATCTACCAACAACCAGGAAGAGTGACTTCCACTTCTCAGCATGTTGTCATCAGACAAAGTAGTGCAGGGAGGCCCAATCAGCACCTTCCTGATGGAACCTCTCATCTCTCTGGATCCCTCTCTTATTTCTCAGATCTCTCACCTCCCAAAGATACAAGTCTCCAATAGACCAGGCATCTTGGATCCATTTTTTTGGCTCCAAGCTCACCTTCCCTGAAGCCATTTCGATGAAATACACAGATACAAGTGCCAAGTGCACAAAGGTCTGTCGTTTCCTTAAGCCAATGTTCCCTGTGAGGCTAAACACTCCCAACACGTTTTCTGAAACCCGTGTTGCTATCTCAACAATGAGGACAAAATTTGGAATTTTTCATTAAAACCAATTCAACATGAGTCAAAAATTTTTTTTTTATTTGGTGTCAAAGAGGTTGGCACTCCAGGCACCAAACACACAGTGACTCCAGCACCAAGTCTTGGGCCAACGACGCCATTTTGTTTTTGTTCCAAGGCAAATGGCATGGGGTATCCCAGGGAGTCGGCTTCCAAGCAAAGCTGACAAAGGACATCTCAGGGGCACTGGAGGGCCGGTGTCAGGACTGTGGGCACAAGGATTCATTCAACAACCATCTGGAGAGGTTTCTTTGCTCCAGACTCTGAGCAAAACAAAGAGAAGATGCCAAGGTCAAGACCATCGTTGCAATGACTGCCCCTCACGTCAAGCAAATGCACTGCTGTCTGGTTTGCAAAAGGAGAGCAAAGAAGCCTGGCCGGAAAGGACTTTGGTGAAAAGCCTGCAACTGAAAATACTGCCTTTTTCCAACATCCTTCTAGAATCCATCTGAGTTCCCTATAATTAGCAGTTAAATTCTCTTGGTTTCTGATCCAAGTTCCGACTGCCAGGGGCCAGCACGAAGTCTGGGGAGTGTTCCTCTTTCTTGGAGTGGTTTCTGACAACGTTGGGTATGTTGGTGAGAAATGGGGCATCTAGCTAGTTGAGGAGGAGATACAGGGCAAGGTTAGCCGAGGGGCCAGCCGGTGAAAATGGGGACTCTGACCAGTCCCCCCACAATATCCCTTCAACCTAACAGTCACTGAATCTGGTCCCGCACCTTCCAGCATCAGTGTCTGGCCACTGGCCACTTCTCTGCACCCTTGCCTTGCCTCTCTCCCCTTTACATTTATTTCTAACAAACCAGCTAAAAAATAAATAAATAAAAGGTGAGGCCAGGCTACAGGTTGGTTGTCTTGTTTTGTTTTAGACCGAAAGAGGCCTCCAGGATGTCTGCTCCAAAGCCTTCAGTGTCTCGATGAGAAATCTGAGCGTCTGAGCTCAGCAGAGCCAGGCCAAGGCGCGTCTCCCCGCCTGACGTGCCACGCGCCCACGCTCTCCCCCGTGACGGACTCCTGCCTTGAGTCTCCAGTGGCCTCAGCCACCAGCCCCAGCTCTCCTGTTGGTGTTGGTTTCTGCAGTATTTAGCACCAGAAATACTTGCACTAGTGTGTCCCGCGAAGTCAGTGTCTGGGGAACAGCGCGGTTCAGCCCCAACCCAGCAGGCCCAGGCTTTCTCCGGGAAGCCTTTCTCCAGGGAGGCAGTGGGGGGCCTGTTGGGTGGAGGCAGCACCCCATCCTCTGTCCGGGGGCAAGAGGAGGCCCAGTGGCTCTCAGGTCCACTCAGGGGTCGGGGATCTAATTCAAGGGCAGCACTAGACTTGCTCCAAAGTAGTGTGTGTCTGTGTGTGGGGGGGGAGGTGCTGGACATGGCGCCCACTCCGAGGTGGACGTCAGCTGCATCCAGCAGGGGAGCAGGGAGGGCGCCCAGTGGGAGAGCAGCCGGGCACCCCCTCCAGTGGGTACTGCGGAGCCAGCTTCGGGCGGCTGAAGTAGCCACGGGGACGTGCTGTTTTGAAATGTGGACTTGGGTGGGAGGGATGAGGAGGGCGGGGTGGGCACAGCGGCCGTGTCGGCACTGGGATGGCATTTCCAGACTCACCAAACCACTTTGAAAAATCACCCCTTCAACCTCCACCCGCACGTCCTGGGGTGCAGGAAGGCGAGCTTGCTCCCTCAGGGCCTAGTGCGTCCTGGGCCGTGGTGGCACGGCCAGGGTCAGGGTGGTCAGGGTCCAGGCCTGGTGAGGGTGGTCCCGGCATGCCAGAGAACACAAGTCGAGGGACCCAGTTGTTGTCAGAATCTGAGAGTTTCAGAGCCCGGAGGGCCAGAGTTAGCAGGCACATGCCTCATTTTGCAAATGGGGAAAGTGAGACGAGGTCCAGTGAGTCTCGTCAGCCCTGTGCAGCCCTAGCACAGCAGAAAGCACAGCCTCTGCTGACCCCGGAGCCCCGGAGCAGCCCCACAGCCCCGCCCTGTGCTCCTTCACTCCCCCACCCGCTTCTCAGCATCTCACCTGTAAGACCAGCGAGTCCACCAGCAGACCACACAGCCCGCAGGGGGGAGGCGAGAGGCAGGCGCCCTCCTTGCTCAGCCCCCTCTACCCTACGGTCACGCAACAGGCAGCTGCTTGCAAAGGACGCAAGGAAGACAGGACCCCCGGCAGCATGGAGGCCCCGGGGCTGAGACAGAGGCCCTGAACAACCTCAGGTCCTTCCGTTCTTCCTTGCACTCGAAGGAGCAGCCTGTCATCCAGCCATCAGCACGAAGTTCCCTGAGCTGAGCCACATTCCTCATTGTCCATTGGCCCCCAGGCGCTCTCCCTACTTCCCAGCCTGTCAGGGGCTCTAAGTTTCTAGAAACACACACCCAAGGAGAAGGAAGCCACACCTCGTTTGTTTGGGGGGACATGACAGAACGGCAGACCAGAAGGCACTTCTCCAGGACCCTCAGTCACCCCCCAGACACGTCCCCCCAGTTTCCCAGCCTGTGATCAGGCCACGAGGCCGTCCAGCGCTCGGCCACATGGTGGCCAGAGGGCTTGGGGTGCAGAGACAAGAAGGGGGAAGAGGCCGCAGGGTGGAACAGGATGCTCTCCAGGTGGTCCGTCCACGGAACTCCTCCAATGTCCCCCAGCCCAGTGAGAAGACCCCCCCCCCAGCCAGTCCAAAGCACAGCTCACCACCCCCACCCCAGTCCAGCTGAGCAGCCCACCGGTCCCTGAACACAAACCGGGACCCACTGTCCGAGCACAGCTCTTTTCTGTTTGATAAAAACATGTGTTGGTCTAAAAAAGAAGCAAAACCACAAATTCAGGCCTGGACCCTGCAGGGGATGCCCCCCACACCTGAGCCAGGCAGCCCAGGCTGCTGGCAGCCCTTCTGCAAAGAGAGAGCAGGTCAGCCCCCCATCCCCGAGATGCCAGCAGGAGGGGGGCTGGTCAGTCGGCAGCTCTGTGCTTGGCGTGAGGCGGGACTCGGCGGCCTGGGAGGGACATGTCCGCTCCTCCTGGCAGGAGGGTACTGCGGGGCCCGGCTGTCGGCTCCAGCAGCATCCGGGAGGCCCAGAGAGCAGCCCCTGGCGCTTCCTTGACAAGCAGCCGAAGGCAGTGATTCCCCTGGTGTGGCCAGGGCGCTGGCTGGGCCCAGGCGCGTCCTCTCTCTCCGGCCAGGGCTCTGTCCTCATTAAGATGCCGAGCAGTGGCCACATGTTGGCCGTGGCCCAGAGATGCTCAGGCCCTCCCCCCACCCAGCCCACAAAAGCCATCTCTCAGCCCTGCATTTTCTCAGCAGCCCAAAGGCAGATGCATCAATCCTTCAAGGGGCTGGGACGTGAGGAGAATGCCAAGGGCTGGTGCAGGTGCCAAGAGAATCCCCCTGCTGGCCCCTGCCCACTCCACCGCCAGCTCCCTGACACCAGCGCTGCCTCTCACCAGACCTGGCTCACTGCCTAGCGGGTAGTTCACCTGGGTCTGGCAGAGTCCAGGAAGGGGGTGGCAGGGAGGGGGGTCAGGGCAAGAAAGACCACCTCAGGGGCACACCTCATGGTGCCCTAGGGGAACCGAGGCTCTGGCTTTGGAACCCTCTGGGTCCCCACAAGCAGACAACCCAGGCACCTCCCCACCCCAGCGCTCCCCAAAAGCCTGAATTTGGGAGGCGAGGCCAGGAGTCTTCCCGACGATGCAAGCACCCTGACAAGGTTCTTCTGTGGTTCTTTCAGTCCAGAAAGTCCAGTTCTTGAAGATCAGAGGAGATGACACAGGCCTTGCCGACCTAGCAAGGAACTTGAGCGCGGCGCACACGGGAAGGCGTGGCCACGTCGGCACAGCTTTGTTTGTGGTTGTGGCTTGTTCAGGGTTTACCTTGACTCCCCAAAGCCTCAAGACCACCTTCTAGAATGAACATCTCAGAAGACGGTCTCACAGGGGAAAAGAGTAGGAAGGCGTGATGGCAATGTTGGGGGGTCAGGAGGCATGCCAGGGCCCCGGTGCAGGGTCGTGTCCTTGCTGAGCGCAGTCCTTGTCACCTGCCCGTGCGCCATTGAGAGCTTGGGCGTAACACACCTGGCAGGTGATGCACACCCGGGCAGGCGATAACCTGCACGGAGATGATGATTCGCATCCACCCCAGCTCTTCCCGTCTCAGCACGAAGATTGTCTCTCTGCATCGTCCAGGTCTTCTGCTCCAAAAAGCCAGAGCCGAAGAAGCATGCGCCAGGCGTAAGTCATCGAGAATTTTCATGTGTGTTCACAATAGTTAGGGTTTTCTGAGCGTTGCGGTTTTGTGGTTTCTGTCTCAGCAGCTTCTCTCTGTATCAGAGAAGCAACTCTCCGGAGATATAGATAGATAGATAGTTAGATATATAAATATATATATATATATGTATATATATATATATATGCCAAACTGCCTTACAGGGTTTTTTCTTTCTTTTTTTTTTTTCAGTGTTGTATGTGTAGCAGGCACTTGAGTTTATATGAAGATGTCGCTTCAGTCAAGGATGGAGGAAGGAGATGCGAGGTAGGGGGGCGGAGGGGAGACCAGGAGAGAGGAGGCAACTGAGTATGAGCGCGGGCCTGGCCCTAGCCGAGGATGTCCAGGTAGATGGGGGTGGCTTTCCCCAGAGCGTGGAGGATTTTGTAGATCTCCTTGATGTTCAGCCGCTGCTGGGGCTCCCTCTGCCAGCACCCCAGCATGACGTCATACACCTCCTTGGGGCAGACGCGGGGCCGCTCCAAGACCCGACCCTGGGTGATGCACTCGATGACCTGAAAGAGTGAGGAGAACGGGTTGTTACGTTCAAGGTCAGGACGTGACCTGTGACTCGGGCCCAGCAGCAGGCCGCACCTTCGTGGGGGAAGCTTCTGCGTCCAGGCTGGACCCTGTGGCTGGGGAGTTCCAGGCAATGGCAGCCTGGCTGTCCGCCTCTTGTGCCTGCCCGCCAGCCCCCAGCCTCATCCGGACGACAGTAATGGGGCTGCGCTCACCCTCCCCGCGACAGAGGGGCTGGCCTGCCCGCCCCCTCGATGAGCGCCATGACGCTGATGCCTCCTTGCAGACGCTCCGTACCCCCAGCCCTGGGCTTCTCTCCCCTAACCCCAGGCAGCCCCCCACCATGAGGCTGCACCTCAACAAGTGTGAAAAGCACTGCTGTGTTCCTACTGCGCTCAGAGAAGGACCTGGCAGGGGAAGCCATGACTGAAATGAGATTACCCAAAGTTTTTCTATTATTATAAATCAAAACCATAAAAGTAGATAAGGGGCCTGTTTCTATTACATTCGCTGTTACCAGTGATCCCTGGAGGCCACTCCCGGGTCCACCAATGACATGGACTCTCCTCCCAGTTCCCATCGGCCCGTGCCTGGGCCGGCGAGCCTAAAGCTTCTGGGGACCCAGATTATTTGGCATCTAAGGAGGTGTTTCCACAAGATGGCTCAGAGTTGTTCTGCATATTCCTTTTCTGTCTTAATGAAACATGGGTGATGTTCTCTTGACACCTACAAGCTCTCTTGACACCTACACCACATCTCTTTCAACGACACCTTCTTCTCCTGCTGGGGTGCTCTCCCGTCCTGCTGACGCCACAGCCGCTGTGCTGACCGCTGTGCTGACCGCCGAGGTCCTGGCCTGACGCCTCTTCCCTAACCCCTCCCCAGGGCTCAGTACCTCTGTGTTTGAGAGCTGGAACCATGGCTGTTTCCCATAGGTGAAGATCTCCCAAAGGATCACCCCGAAGCTCCACACGTCACTCTCCGTCGTGAACTTCCGGTACATGATGCTTTCGGGGGGCATCCAACGGATGGGGAGCATGGTGTGTCCTCCCACCTGCAAGGGGTCGAGACACAGGCACCCAGTGACCAGGCGGCCGGGACGCGTCCTGTCCATTGCTCTCTCCCTACACGGATGCACTTTGGTGCCCCCTGTTCTGTGACAGCTACGGGGTCAGAGGGCCAGCGGGTGCCGGCACCAGATCTACCTGTGCTGCAGACAGCCAGGGGCAGCTAGAGGTCACCCCAAGGGCAGCATCCTTCCAGGGAGCGTAAGGAAAGATACATGATGACGTGAGGTGGGTGCAAGGACTCAGAACCTGGCATTACAGGGAAATCTGACCTTGAAAGGAAGACTGCAGGAAGGAAGCCAGAGAGTCGCTCAAGGGTCGAGTATTTGTCACATCAGCTGAGATCCTTGGCCAAGGGGAGACGGCAGATACGGCCCTGAGCTTCTAGTCTGTGGACTGTGACTTTAGCCTCCACCCGACAATCAGGAACTTTCCACCATAACTTATGACTGTTTCAAGGGAAGGGGAGAGGCAGTCCCCAAAGCATGAGGAGCCCATGCCAAAAAGAAACCAGGGGGGCTGAGAGAAGTATTCACAATGGTTCTTCCTACGATCTCAAAGGCCAATAGGAAAGTCAGCAGCCTGAGCATAAGGTCAGCCAGGAGAACCTGGTTCCAGAGCTGAGAGCCCAGGGCAAAAGGAGGCTGACATCTGAGCACCCTTCACCTTCCCTGAGAGAAGGGCCGGGCCCCCCAGGACCTGAGCAGAGAAGACACAGAGGGAGTCTGGGGTCCAGGACTGACACACCACGAGTAAGCAGAGCCTTGAAAATAGGAGCTCTTGGTTAATCCTGCAGATTGCTAGAAAACTGCTCACCATTGATGAGAAAATCTGCTTATAAATGTCCTGATGAACCACTAATCAGACAATCTCACTCTTACTGTGGCTGTTGGAAGAATATCAATAAACACAAAAGAATGATTTGTTGGGAGACAGACTATCTTGCTTGGAAAAAGGGAAATTATGTTTGCTTTCTGCACTGAGGTATTTTAGAAGATGTGTGATGATAGGTCTTTGCAGAAATTGTCCTCAACCTGGAGTTTTATAACCCAGATAGCTCTGTAGCAAGCATAAGGACAAGTGAAGATGTTTCTTTCAGACAAGCAAAGACTCAGGAAGTTTACCACTCTCAGCCTTCCAGAAAATTGAGAAACAAAATAGTAATTAAGGATATACTCCAGGAAAAAAAAAAAGAATCTAAAATATACAATAATTTGGAACACAACAAACAGTGTAGAGCAAATAAGCGACAAAAATCTAAATAATGGTTGCTAATTTGGTAATAAAATGTAATACAATTACTAGTAAAGTCTCCCTCTAAAATAGAGACATAAAGCATATAATGATACTAATAATGCTAATAGTTCCACCACTACCGTTATTAAGGATACTTATCTGAAATGAAACTTCCAGATAATTCCTACCATAAAGTGTAGAAGAGTTGATAGAGAAAAAAATTGAAAGTTTGATGAAGGTTTGTCATTTAGAAGACATGGAGCTGGAGTATACAAACAGTCAGCAATTGGTGATTTGAACAGATTGAATGTAAATGTGCTTACTAAAATTGTAGGAGTTTCCAGAAGAATAGCAATAGTGTATGTAGCTTCCAAGTCAGTTTCAGAAAAACAAGAACCAAAAATTTCTGACCAATATCAAAAATATCATAAAAAGAATGAGATAATGGTACAGAAAGTACAAAATGACAAAAGAAGCTTAAATAACATCACCACATAAGGTTAAGTAAAAACGTTACCTCTTAAACAAGGAAAGATCAATTTTGAAAAATCAAAATACATGTTATTTTGAAAAGTTATCTAAAGGCAAATGGCAGAGAATATTGAAAATAAAAGATGCAATACATAACAAATACAACAAATGATAAAAATTACATGTGTGCGTGTGTGCATGCGCGCACACGCATGTGTGCATGTGTGTTTTCATGTGTGTGTGTATGGGGGGAAGGAGAGAGAGAGAGATAATGTCAATAACATAACAGATAAAGTGGTTTAAATCATATTTGAAGATGGCAAAATTCACCACTATGATTAATCATGAATTTTTATGCTCCAACTAACTTAACATCAGAACAAAAATATAAAAAGAGTAAACACAGGTAATAAATAAAAGGAAACTCACAAAGCTACAATTATAATAGAAAATGAAAATACTTCTTTCACAAAGTGACAGCTCAAGAAGACAACTTAAATGAAGACACATTTTTAAAAATACAAATAATAAATTTCAGTTGAGGGATATCTATTGTGATCATGGGTCTTTCGGGCTCACTAAACTGTTGGACATTATTATCAGTTAGCTAAAAAAAATTCATAAAAGCCAATCACATATTAGACTTCAAAGAAACGCTGAAATACCAAGAGAAGACAGCAAAATAAAAAATAAAAATTTTCAGTACCCAATAATATAAAATAGAAGTTAACAACAAAAAGATAATCTTTAAAAGGTTCTCCTTAGGCAGTTAAAAAAACAATCTGATAAAAAAATAAAAAGTAAATTTAAACTTTTTATTATAGTAATAATTAAAGTTGTATTTATTGAAACCTATGGAAAATAGCTAACAATATTGTGGGGAAAAATGTGTAGCACTTAAGCACTTTGCAGTTAGGTTAAATAAGGACTCAACAAAAAGGCAGTAAAGATCTACAAGACAAATTTATATGAAGCAAGAGGAAATAAATAATAAAAACAAAGTGAAGAATCTGTATAAAACAAAGCAAAGCAAAACAACCAACCAAAGTGGGAATAAAAGCAATCTATATTATTAATAAAATAATATAAGCCAATGTCAAGGCTAAAAAGGACATAGAGAAAACACATATGAAATGTTAAGAATGTTAAACCAATAAATTAAGAAATAAAATGTCATGATTGATTTACCAGAAAATATTAATGAAAAAGTTAAAAGCAGAAAACTTGAACACAAATGTAATTAAAATTATAGTAAAAAAAATCAATGCATTAAAAAAGCACAAGTTCTAGTTGGTTTTATGGATGAGTTCAGTTAAAATACTCTCTCCTATTTATACTTTTCTAAAGAAAAATAATAATAAACATGACCAAATCACCCTCTGTGACTAAAAGTCCAGATGAAAAAATCAGTCAAATGTAACATTAAATAGATAAATACAGATATGAATACTTTCTCTATGTATGTATAAAGTTATCTGCAATATAGTCTCCAAATCTGAAAAAATGTTGTATTAAATCAGCAAAGTATTACAAAAATTCATTTTATAACTTAATAAGGTTTTGAAATATAAGTGCAAGAATATCTAAGCTTTAAGAAAGCCACTGTTTTACACAAAGGATAAAAGAAGAAATCTTTTCAAGATACCAAAGTATTCCAGTACACTTCTCCTGATAAACAGTCCTAATTCATTCATAATAGAAGGTAACTTTCTTTATTTAGCACACTCAGTAACATTTGTACTAATAAAACACTGGAAGCATAGAGGATATCTTCTATCACTGATTTTATATAACCCTGTTCAGACTATCCTAGCCAATATAATAAAACATCAATAAAAACAAGGTCGAAATAGTGAAGATGTCCATTGTCTGCCAGTGATATGACCACTCAAGATAATTATCTAAAAAACAATTGGAACCATTATGTGAGTTAGTGAGCTGCTTAGATATGAAATCAACATGCAGAAATCAAACTATTCTCATATACCAGTAGCAATCCCTTAAAAATTCAATGGAAATAATATTGTATGATAGCAACAAGAAATGTTTAAAATTCCAGGCATAAATCTTAGCAGAAAATGTACAAGGTCTATTTAAAGAAAAATGTTGAAAAGCATAAAAGAAGATCCAAAATATATGGAAAGCTCTCTTGTTTCCTTGCATAGAAAGACTCATTATCATAAATCTCTCATTCTCCCACAAATTAACCTAAACATTCAACACCATTTAAATGAAAACCCCAATGGCATGATGTATGGAAACTGACAAAGTGATATCAAAATTCATTGAGAGGGATACATATTCGATAACAAGATATACTTGAAATAGAACAAATTAAATTTTCTCTGTCAGCTAGCAAAGCACATTATCAAACTATAGTCATGAACACATTGTGATATTAACATAGGAATAGACAAATTTTGTTGATCAATGGAACAAAGAGTCCAGAAGCAGACCCAATTAAAATATTGGAATTTAATATATGAAATGATGGGTTAGTAATCAAAGTGTTGGGACAATGAACTATTATTCATTTAAAAAGTACACTTGGATACCTACCTCACACCATATACAAAAATCATTTCCAGATGGATTAAAGAGCTAAACATAAAAAACAAAACAATAATAATATTAGAAAAAAAACTTAGAAAAGGTATTTGCATAACCTCAGGAGAGGAAAACCTTCCTCAATAAGACATATGTTCAGGATGCCATAAAGAACTGAATTTAAGGATACAACTTATAAAAAGCAAACAATTTTGCATGACACTTTACAAAATAAGCATAGTTCAAAGACAAATGACAAAGAAAATATTTGTAACACATAGAACAGAGAATTAAAACCCAAATATTATGAAGTGCTCCTTTCAATCAATCAGTTTTTAAAAAGCAACTCAATGGGGAAATGATGGAGGATGAGGGCAGGTGGTTCTTGGGCATCACAAAGGCCATGGACACATGAGAGGTGCCAACTCAAGCAACAAAGAGACACACTCTGAATGTCATGTGAGAGACATTGAGAAGACGGAGGCTCTCTGGTGTGTGGGAGAGTGAGGGACTCGTTCATCTCAAGGCACCGCCTCCGTGGAGACTGCCTTGCTGAGGGCGGCGGGGCAGAATCCGTCCTCACTTAAGTGCCTCAATCCAGCAATTTCGCTTCTAGGGGACTTAGAAAATACCAGCTCTTGTAAGCAAAAATACTTGGTTGAAGATGTCTATTTTGTTGTTTTTAGGGCAACGAGGTGTTGTCATTGGACGTATATTCAGCAAAGAAAGGGAGAAGGCAGGGTTATCTGCCTGCAAATATGTCTGGGATATACTAAGTCAAAAAACAAGATACTAATATATCTATGGCAGCATTTTCATTCACGTACAGATGTGTAGACGTAAGCAAATATATTACAGGGCAGTAATGATAACTCTGTGATGGCATCAAGAAAATTCCAGCAATCTGGCCATCACACCAATGGTTCCTCGAGAGAGGGAAATGAGGGGAACATGACATGCATTTGAAAAATTAAAAACAATAAAAGGGGGAAAAAAAGACATGCATTAAGGGAAACCAGTGGACTGAATGTGCTTCATTCTCTAGAAAGAGATGGTGTTTTTTTCAAGGAAAACATGTTTGTGATAGAATCTGGTAGAATGGTTTATTGTACCTGATTTCTTGGTTCAAAAAAACATAAATGTGAGGGACATAGGAACATTTCTCATGGTGAAAACTTTTAAATGATGGATTCTTCCAATCAATGCTGGGGTTTGCCTCACTTGATGATTTTTGACATAGACCAGAAGGGGTGTTCCAGATTGCAATCCCCACATTTATAGAGCAAGAAATTCAAATGTGCTGGTGTAAACTTGTGAGCTTAAGTATATGGACAGAAAAGTATTTGAAGGGTATTAATGGCTAGAGGGGCCCCACTATGAAGAATCTTATCAAGATTCTTGCTGGGTGGCACCGCTAATGTGGGTGGCTTATGCAACATCCCTCCAGAAGTAGACTAAAATATTCCAAGAAGTCAGTGACGTAACACAAAATCATAAATTGGAAGGCAGAGGTCCTGGGTTCTAATGTGAACTTCAACAAGTGCTTAATATCTTCGAGTTAGAATTTCCTCCTCTTCAGCATGGAAGCTAAGCAACAGCTCTAGTAGGCGAGGATGTGAAATCCCACTAAGCATTACTCAAAGCCCATGCATATGCACACGGTGACACACCTGCCTGCCGACTTGCTAGTGGGCGGGAAAGCAGACCTAGCTCCTATATTTTTCCTATTCCCCATAAAGATTTACTCAGGCTAGGCTGATGGTCTCCCCAGGTAACCTACATTCTTCAACCACCTTGGAGAGATCCAGCCTGGGAATGTGGTGTGTGTGTGTGTATATATATATATATATATATATATATATACACAACCATCTCCGTGGTAAAACCTAAGCAAGGGATGGGTTGAAATGAAAATCTTAATATGAGTTACACTAATGGAGGGGCCTCCCCTGGTGGTGCAGGCGGTTGAGCACCACGTTGGGAAGCTGTCTGCAGCCTCTGCAGTGCCGGTTCTATCCTGGCTGGCCGGTGAGGGTCCCACATGGCACGGCAGACCTCTCCTGTCTCGCCCGCTGCTCCCCTCATCAGTGTATTTCATCAGTCTGCCTGTTCTGTTCCCCACTCTGTCTCTGGTGAATCCTCTCACCCTCCTACGCATCTGGCCTGTACCCCGGTTCTTGTATAAATAAATAAATCTTAAAAAAAAAAAACTAATGGAGGCAGACTGACTACCAGCCTCTGGATGTCACCCACTCATTGAGCCCTCCCTAGAATTCCATATGTTGGGTACCCTATTCTTTGCATTTCACAGATGAAGATTGGGTGATTTGCCTACACATGGTATGAGAAATACTAGCTAATGACCCATACTCTTAATGAGATACAGTAAGGAATAGAAGCAATCAATAAACATATAGTCATAAGGCCCACCAACTAATCTAAGAGATGATTCCAGAAGTAACACAGGTACTTGGAGAGCTTTGGATCCCTCTACCTATGCTGACACCTCCCAATGTTGCCTTTTTCACACCCCTAGAAAAAGAGGTTGGGAGTTCGAAGAACCATGGAGTTTGGAAGTATGTCAGGGTCATTTGTCAATATGGGGGATCCAAGGGGGCTGTCAGGAAGGCTGGGTTGTCCAGATGTCGGCTTGGAGAAATTAGGGAATCAGGAGATGGTGGAGCACAATTCCCTTTTGCCTTTGTTCCCAGATGGAGCCTGGATTCCTTGAGGTCTTGGCTTCTTGGACTTGGTGGTGCAGAAGCAAGAATGCAATCCAGTTAGCATTACAAACTGTCACTCCTGGTATATACAGGAGTGACAGGTATATACAGGTGTCCGTATTGGATGTCTTCATCTCCACAAAATTCCCTTTATACTCATGGGTCAGATGGCTTCTGAAGGATTCCAGATTCCATGCAGGAATCCAGAGGACCTAATCAACTCAGCTGTAGGAGATTGTCTCAAAGTCTACCACACCGGCTGCTCTGGACCTCCTGTCTGAGCAGCTCACTAGCCAGGGCTGCCCTTGACTTCTTGCTGACCATTATTTCGCTGAACATTTTTGCTATTGCTTCCTATGTCATCAGGGCTGCCAGACAAAATACAGGATTCCAGGCAATTTGAATTCAGATAAATAATGATTAATTTTTTAGTATAGGCATGTCCCAAGTATTGCATGGATCAAACTTATACTAAAGAATGACTTGTTTGTCTGTAATCCAAATTTAAATCTGTATTTTTATTTGCAACCTATGATTTTTTTTTTAATTGAACTGAGAACCCCTCCCCTTTGGTCCAGCAATCCCCTTCCCTGAGTGTTGCCACAACACACGTGCATAAATGTACACACACACACACACACACACACACACACTCACACACACCCCTGCCACTCTCAAAGGAAACAAATCTCTCATTGATTCTAAATCTCAAGGGAGAAAAACTACTGAGCACAAATGAATAAACTCTGGGAAACGCTGGTACAGGTGCTGAAAACAAACACCTCTTGTGGTTGGGAAATAAAACGTTTTACAAATTTAATAGTTTCCAGTTCTTTTCAAACAACTGAAGGGGGCAGACCTAAAAGAATTACCCATGGAAAGGAGATTAAAAAGAATTGTTGATAAGAGACCAGCAGGTGATGTCGGGCAAATAGCAATAATTCGAAGAACAATGGTTCCAAGAAGGGGGTCAAGACACAGCAACAAACTCCTCCCTGTGTGTTATGAACAATGTTTCTGAGGTCTCATCCTTATAAAAATGAGAAACAGGAACAGCTTGGACCCTGAGGCTTGCTTATTTCAGCAATCAGTCATGCTCTGTAATGATTACATTGAAATATGACCTGCATTTCCAAAAACATTATTCTTCTCATCTTGTATATGTGTATCCAAAGTTGTAGCACATATACATTATTTTGATCAAGCTCCTATTTCTGTGTGTCAGTGATAATTGCAATAATAACTCAATCCAAAAACTCTTAATGTCTAGAAACTTAGGGTCATTGGACATTAAAAATTAAAGTTGAATCTTCAAACATATTTTTTTGTCATGCTAAATGATGACAGAGTGCCCAGTAACCGACTTTCATGCATAAGAATATGCATAAGGGTAAAATTAGGTGGGGTAACTGGAATAAAAGCATAAATCCAAGAAGAAAGGAATCCTCACAAAGCCAAGAGCTGAAGGCCTGGTCCAGGCTTTAATGGATGAGGCATCAAATTGCTCTGGTATTTGAAGTTCATTAGATACATTAAAGGAGTCATGTGTTTCTTTAGTGTCAATATTTACAATATTCTAGAAATGGCAACATTTGCAACTATTTAAAATTGTGTTGAAGATTTAAATGGCAAATTAAAATGTGCAGGGGGCCAGCCTGAGTTTTCAGATTCTTTTAGGAAAAGGAAAGTTGGAAGGTCTCGGGTCCAGAGCCCTGGAGTTGCAAAGTTTGGAGACTCACCTCTGTCAACCTACCATCTTTCCCGAAGACTGAACCCCCTCCCATCCCAGGCCAGTAGAGGCTTAAGGAGGAGAGAATGCCACACACGGAGGGAAGCAGGAGCCCCCTCCAGCCAGGGTGCCTGCCCCAAATCCCCAATTCTCATTGCTTTCATCCAAGTCCAAGCCTTCACCCCCAGCTTTGTCCCAGGGCAGGAGTCAGCAGGATGCCTGTGCTGTGCACTCGGGCAGGCTCTTAGGATCCAGGACCCCCTGAGAGGTGCTGCAGAGAGCAGAAGCGTGGGGGCTCCCTCCTCCCCACCCACCCCAGCCATCCCCTGTCTCCTGAGCCAGCCTTCCCTGAACCTGCACCTGTCTTGTGCATTTCCCTAGAGCGACGCCAACTTGCCCTCCATCAGAGCAAACACACTGCTCAGTGTTAAAGAGAAACCCAGGTGATTTCTAGAAAGTTCTTAGGCCTCTATGTTTAATTACACAGAAAAGGAAGTGGCTGGAGGGTTCCCCCACAGAAGCTACTTCTCTCCCAGAACTCCAGAGCATCTGTCCTCATGCAACTCTGATAAAGAGTAGGGAAACAAAGTGACCCACATATT